TGGGGTACAGTGTGTTGTTTCAATACATACATATGCTGTACATTGATTCATTTAGGATAGCATAGCCTTGTACTCGTTAGTCCACCACTTCCCCTCCCCCTCCCGACCTCTAGTAACCATTATTCTACTCTCTACTTCTGAGAAACACTTTTTAACCCCTAGATTCCACGAGTGAGATCATGTGGTATGTATATATATAATATACATGTATTTGTATAATATATATAATATACATATATTTGTATTATATATAATATATATATATTTGTATAATATATATAATATATATATTTGTATAATATATACAATATATATATATATATATATATATATATATATATTTGTAGCTGGACAGTATTCCATTGTATTCCAAACATTTTTAAAAATAGTTTTAAAATCCATTTATCCACTGATGGGCATTTAGGCTGACTCCATCATTTGGCTATTGTGAACAGTGTTGCAATGAATGTGCAGTGCAGTGTCTCTTCGACACACTGATTTCATTTCCTTTGGGTACATACCCAGTACTGGGTCATAAAGTAGTTCAATTGAGAAACACTTTTTAACCCCTAGAATCCACGAGTGAGATCATGTGTGTATATATATAATATACATATATTTGTATAATATATATATAATATATATATTTGTATAATATATACAATATATATTTATATTATATATATATCTATATATATCTATATATATATCTATATATCTATATATATATATATATATTTGTAGCTGGACAGTATTCCATTGTATTCCAAACATTTTTTAAAAGTTTTTAAAATCCATTCATCCACTGATGGGCATTTAGGCTGACTCCATCATTTGGCTATTGTGAACAGTGTTGCAATGAATGTGCAGTGCAGTGTCTCTTTGACACACTGATTTCATTTCCTTTGGGTACATACCCAGTACTGGGTCATAAAGTAGTTCAATTTTTAGTTCTCCACACTATTTTCCACAATGGCTGTGCCAAGTTGCATTCCTACCAACGATGTAGGAGAGCTCCCCTTTCTCTGCATCCTTGCCAACATTTGTTATTTTCTGTCTTTTTGATAACAACCTTTTATCTGGAGTAAGATGATATCTCATTGTGGTTTTAATTTGCATTTCCCTGATGAGTGGTGATGCTGAACATTTTTTCATATGCCTTTTGGCCATTTGACTTTTTTGCTGTTTTTGTTGTCTGGCTAATATGGGGATCCGAACCCTTGACCTTGGAATTACCAACACCATGCTCTAACCATGTTGGCCATCTATATGTCTTCTTTTGAGAAATGTCTGTTCAGGTCCTTCGCCCATTTTTTAATTTTTTTTTTTTGCTGTTGTTTGAGTTCCTTATACATTCTGGATATTAGCCCCTTGTCTGATGTGTATGTCTTCTTTTGAGAAATGTCTGTTCAGGTCCTTCGCCCATTTTTTAATTTTTTTTTTGCTGTTGTTTGAGTTCCTTATACATTCTGGATATTAGCCCCTTGTCTGATGTGGAGTTTGCAAACACTTTCTCACATTCTGTAGGTTCTTTTCAATTTGTTGATTATGTCCTTTGCTGTGCAGTTTTTTAGTTTGATGTAGTCTGATTTGTCTATTTTTATTTTAGTTGCCTTTGCAGTCTTGCTCAAAAAAGTACTGCCCCATCCCATTATGTACAACGTTTCCCCTATGCTTTATTCTAGTAGTTGCATAGTTTCGGGACTTAAATTTAGGTCTTTAATCCATGTTGAGTTGATTTTTGTGTAAGTTGAGGGATAGGGGTCTAGTTCCACTCTTCTGCATGTGGATAACCAGTTTTCCCAGTACCATTTATTGAAGAGGCTGTCCTTTCCCCACTGTATATTTTTGGCACTGTGGTGGATTATATTATGTCCCCCAAAACTCCCTGAAGCTTGACATGTGTCCCCCAAGTTTTCTGTATTAGAAACTTAGCCCTCATTGTGACTGTTAAAAGGGTGGGAAATCCTATTACGGTAACTGAAAGGTGGAGTCTTGAAGAGGTGATTGTATTGTAGGACCATGCAATATTGAATGGATTAAAAATGGTGGTCAGGGGCATGGTTCTGACAGCTTTAAAAGAAGAGAATCTGTCTGTCTGTCTCTCTCTGCTTCCACTATTTTGTGTGAGACCCCTGGATCACTGTCGACAACACCAGATGGACTTTGGCCTTCCCAGCTTTAGAAACTATAAGCAATAAATTTTGTTTTTCTTTATGAATCACCCAGTTCCATGTATTTTGTTATAAGCAACACAAAAATGGACTAATACAGGCACCTTTGTCAAAAATCAGTTGGCTGTAAATGCATGGGTTTATTTCTGGGCTCTCTATTCTGTTCCATTGGTCAATTTGTCAGGTTTAATGCCAGTACCATGATGTTTTGGTTACTATAACTTAACAGTATATTTTGAAGTCAGGTAGGGTGATGCCTCCAACATCGTTCTTTTTGTTTTAAGATTGCTTTGGCTATCCATTTATTTGTGTCTTCAGTTTCTTTCAGCAATGTTTTATCATTTTCGTTATAGAGGTCTTTCACCTCCTTGGTTAAATTTACTGCAAGGTATTTCATTTTTTTGGTAGCTATTGTGAATGGTATTACTTCCTTGATATCACCTTCAGATATTTTGTTATTGGTATACAGGAATGCTAACTGATTTTTGTATGTTTGCATCCTGCCACTTTACTGAATTCATTTATTATTTCTAGTAATTTTTTCGTGGAGTCTTTATGGTTTTCTATGTATATGATCATGTCATCTGCAGATAGGGATAGTTTGACTTCCTCCTTTCAATGTGGATGCCCTTTATTTCTTTCTCTTGCCTTACTATGCTGGCTACAACTTCCAGTACTATGTTGAATAAGAATAAGAGTAAGGAAAATGGGCATCTTTGTCTTGTTCCAGATCTTAGAGGAAAGGGAATGAACTTTAAAAAGTTCTACTATGTCAATATCATCTAAACTCTATTAGCTTTTGAAGTGACTGGTGGGGAGCGGAGAGGCCAAATAGCTTAGGAGCAAGTCCACCTGAGCAACTTATTGTTATTTAATCTTTTTTATTCCCTTTATTCTATGTAAAGGGGATAATAACGTATGAAGCGATTGCCCTAGTATCTGGCACACAGTAATAGTTAACACTTATCTCTTCCTCAAATGAAGCCTTCAAATTTGCACTTTTGACTTTTTACATCTAACTTTGATTTATTTCTACTTTTCTTAATGCCTCTGAACTATACTCCCACTTAGATTACATAAAAGCATAAAAGAAATTAGATATTGATTTACTAAAGCAAGCATATGGGTCCTCTGCACTTATACATATAACAGAACTTTAGACTTCTTAAGCAACTCTAAGTACTTACAGTCTTCATTTGTTTATTTGTTTAAGTTTTGCTATGCCAGAGGGTCACTTGAGTATTGGGCAGGTAGTTTGCTCACTCACCAGCTAAAAGGGACTGAAATGCTGAATATTTTAAAAATGATTATACAATAAAAAGAAAGGTTTACTATATCCTTCAAGACTTTACAAACTTAAAGAATTAGTCTGTACCTCAAATGGTGACATCTATATTTTGTCTAAATAAGCAACAACATAAAGAATTACTTCTTAGGTTAACAAGAGCTAAAACATGTCAAACATATATCACATAGTTCTTCTATTATATAGCTATCTAGTTGGCAGTTTTTGAAGACTCATGTACAGGGCGTGGATTTAAGCACTTACATGAACTAATTTATTTAACCATTAATTATAAATACATGTCAATGATACCTTTTACCATCAAATATGGACAGAAGTAGAAATAATACAGAATATCAGAAAATTGGAGTTATAACATAAAAGTTTTTATAAGTTCTAAATAAAATACTGGAGTCATGGCCAGCCACCAACCCCCCCCCCCAAAAAAAAATGGAGTAATAAAAGGTTGTTAAAATTAAAACAAATTTCCTCAAATGGTGACATCTATATTTTGTCTAAATAAGCAACAACATAAAGAATTACTTCTTAGGTTAACAAGAGCTAAAACATGTCAAACATATATCACATAGTTCTTCTATTATATAGCTATCTAGTTGGCAGTTTTTGAAGACTCATGTACAGGGCATGGATTTAAGCACTTACATGAACTAATTTATTTAATCATTAATGATAAATACATGTCAATGATACCTTTTACCATCAAATATGGACAGAAGTAGAAATAATACAGAATATCAGAAAATTGGAGTTATAACATAAAAGTTTTTATAAGTTCTAAATAAAATACTGGAGTCATGGCCAGCCACCAACCCCCCCCCCCAAAAAAAAATGGAGTCATAAAAGGTTGTTAACATTAAAACCAATTTTTCACTTCTCATTTAAGGTTTAATATTTACTTGCTAACTGAAAAATATTGCTAGATTATTCCATAGATGCTCAGGTCACTCTGAGGGAACATCAGAGTGGAGTGAAAATATTCTTGATACACCAACGTAATTTTTACAAACTGTGATATTTCTCTCCACACTCTAAAACACCTGGCCATTAATTCTGAAGAGTGTAAAACATGATAAAGCATGCCTATGATATGCTACACACCTAGTTCTTCAGAAGAAAAAGAAAATCACAGGATGGTATACAAAAGAGAGAAAAGTAACTCAATGTGAGATTTGTGAGAGGCAAAGAAGAAATAAGAGGATTAAAACATATAATAAAAATACCTAATCTTTTATATTTGATGAGACAAAAAATACCCCCAAAACAAACAGACAAGAAATAAACACCTGTTTATACCAATCATCTTACCTGAAGAGTCCTTGTTTAAAAAGATAAGCACTAATATGACCCCCTTCTAGATACCGAATTTCACAACCAGGCCAAATTTCTTGTAGACTTCGAACTCCTGTTCGTGGGATATAGGCATCTTCTTTGGCTTGAACCACTATAATGAGGCTTGGGTCAACTGGAACTAGGTATAGGATTTTTAAAAATTCAATATGTAAGCATTTAAAAAGCTCTAAGATTCTTAAATGAATACTATAAATCATAATTAGAAAATAAAATACACCATACAGTAAGTGGAACACTTCTCAATCTATAACTCTTTTAAATTAAAAATTAACTCTAATATACCATAGTATCATTAATATTCATCTCTAATAAAATGAGATAAATATTGTAAAGATACAAAATCCAAAGTGTTTTTTCTGGGGAGTAGTGCAGCTGGCCAGTACAGGGATCAAACCCTGGACCTTGGTATCATCAGCACAACACTCTAACCAACTGAGATAACCAGCTAGCTTTCCAATGTGTTTTTTAATGAATAAGATGGTCTTAGATTTGCATGGATAAAATATGACACATTTAAATAACAAACTTATCTTGGGAAACATATTCTGGAGCCAACAAACAATATGCACTTGAAAACATGAAATTATCTTACAAAGCATCCTTAAAAATATTTCACAAATTATTACAGATCAGCAAACATTTTTAATTTCATATAAACATTAGTACCTGAGAAATTTGCTACATGAGTACATTCATCCATGACTCCTTTCATAAATATTAAAGACTCTTTTTGAAGATTGTTTCTTCTTTGTTCTTTACTGAGTAGGTGGTATGACTGAGGGTGGCAATTTGTATAACTACTTTTGTTGGTTGAAAATGTTTGATTGAAGCACTTCATCTTAGAGGTATCTTGCAACAAGATTCCTTCTGATGTGGCACTGATAGATGTTTTACTAGAATTATGGCACTGAGCAGGTTTTTGGGATACAACTTGGTCTGTCATATCTAAATTTAAAGTTCTGGGAACCAAATTAAGGTTAGCTAGCTTGTCTGCACTGCTAGGGAAGCGTTTCACAAACTCTTGTCCCATTTTGAAAGAATCTGTCTGAATATATGAAAGAAAAGAAAACATCATTTAATATAAAATAGGGCTTTATTTAACAACTTCGTTAAAACAAATTGAAGAGATAATGTGCATCAGTGGATAAATGGATAAATAAAATGTGGTATATACATACAAATGGAGTATTATTATTTAGTCTTAAAAGGAATGAAATTCTGACACATGCTGCAACATGAATGAACATTGAAGACATTATGCTAAATGAATAAGCCAGACACAATAGGTCAAATATTGTCTGATTCCACTTGTATAAGGTCTTTACAATAGTGAAATTCATAGAGACAGAAAGAGAATGACAATTGCCAGGGGCTGGGAGAAGAGAAGAATGGGGAGTTATTGTTCAATAGGTAGAGTTTCAATTTGAGAAGATGAAAAAGTTCTGGTGATAGTTGCACAACAATGTGAAGGTACTTAATGCCACTAAACTGTACACTTAAAAATGGTTAAAATAGTACATTTTATTTTGTATACATATATTTTTCATGATTTTAAAAAAGAACAAAGGGAAAAGAGATGTCAAAATTTAACTGAGGACTAAGATAAATGACATACCTTACCACTAAATGTTTCTTACTAAACAGTAAAGGGTATCATTTTAGTCTACATCATGTTTTTATTGCCAAAGTTTCGAAATCCATGATCTGATTTAAACTTAGAACTTCCAAAAGTCTCGGCAGTAATGTAAATTCAAGCTTAAGAGAACACCAGCCACCCTAAATCCCTTTCTCAGGTTGAACTAACAAGAATTAAAACTTATCAAGGAAACTATATTGCCTGTTAAAGTCTCAAAACTATATTCTAAGTTTAAGGAATTATAAATACAACATAATTTAAGTAAAAGTAAACTTTTTTATATACTAAAAGCAAGTCAAAAGAAAAAATGACAGCCTGGGAAAATATGTTTGCAACTCATATGACAAATGACTAATTACTTTAATTTATTAAAAGCTAGAACTGAATAATTTTTTAAAATCCCAAAACCACAATAGAAAAAATGAGTATAAAGGTTACATAAAATAAAAAACAAATCACTCCTAAACTTATAAAAGCATGCTCAAATTTACCCATAATTAAGTAAATTAAACTGAAACTATACCATTTTCTACTATCAGTCAATAAAAAAACCACAAGTTTGATAGCACACTGAATTTGTGAACTTATAGGGAAAATGACACTCACCTTCCTGCTGGCAGTGTAAATTGACACAACTAGAATTAGACAAAATCTAACCACATTATAAATTCATATACCTTTTGATTCAGCAATAAAATTTCTAGTGCAATGATGTATGTATAAAGTTACTCACTGCAGCTCTGTTAATGTTTAATGTTTCAGGGAATAGTGAAAGAAACAATACAAATGTCTATCAATAGGGTACTAGTTAATAAGTTATGGTACATCCATCCATATAATAGGCTATTATACAGCAGAAAAAATAAGGAAACATTTGTGTATAGTCCATAAAAAAAGTTCATATTGTATTGGTTTGTATACGGATCAAAAAATTCCCTGAAACATTAAACAATAATTTAGTAGGTTATTTGTTGAGGGGGATAGGTCCTAGGCAAATAGGGAACAGGAGTAGGAATCTTTTCACTATATATGTGTGTGTGTATACACATATATACACACACACATATATACATATATATACACACACACATAAATACATATATACACACACGTGGGTACCTCAAAAAGTTCATCAAAAAATTGAATTAAAAGATAATACAAATCTCTCCATGAACATATATACACACACATGGGTACCTCAAAAAGTTCATCAAAAAATTGAATTAAAAGATAATACAAATCTCTCCATGAACTTGTTGAAGACCCCTCTTTTTATAAGTTTTGATGCTTAAACTACATGACCATACTACAATCTAATTTTTAAATTAAATAATTGAACATTGGTTGAAAGCAAGGAAAAAGAATACCTAACAACCTGGTTACCAGAACAAATCATCCAGACCGTAAAAATATAAAAGAGAAAGGAAGTTTAGTAATATTTAGAAATGTAAGGATCAAAAGTTCCTACAATTACACCAATAAATTTGACTTCTTTTGATTGGGAAAACAAACAATAGGAAGTCATCTTGACATTTATTGAATATTCATTACTGTGAACTAGTTCTAACTGAGGCAAGTTCTTGGAAGGCTTCTACTATAGTTTGAATGTGTCCTCATGTGTTGGAAACTTAATCCCCAGTGAAACAGTGTTGAAAGGTGAGACATTTATGAGGTGATTAGGTCATAAGGGTTCTTCCTTCATGAATGGATTAATGCCGTTATCATAGGAGTAGGTTAGTTATGAGGAGTGGGTTCCTGATAAATTGAGTTCAACCCCATTCCCCTCTCTCTCCCTTTCTCTTGCCCTTCCGCCTTTCACCATGGGATGGTGTAGCAAGAAGGCTCTCACCAGATATGGGCCCCATGACCTTACACTTCCTAGCCTCCAGAACCATGAGCCAAATAAATTTCTGTTCTTATAAATTACCCAATTTCAGGTATTCTGTTACAACAGGACAAAACGGACTGAGACAAACCACACTGCCATTTCAGATGACCAAAATTTATGAACTTCCTTTAAAAAATACATGTAAATTTTCTTAGAAGCTTTCAAATATAGGTATCTTTCAGATTATACATACAGTGGAACACAAGGAACTAAATAGTAGGTAAAACTATTTTATAATAAAGTTCTTAGGCAAGCAATTAACTACCCTTTGACGTTATGCAAGACAGCCTACTTAATAAGAGTGAGGTTCATAGCGATGTAATTATAAATAAAAGGTCCTCATTGATAGTAGAAAGATTCCTTTTCTTTCTGAGATATCTTGAGAGTCTCAGTAACTTTCAAACTGAAAAGTTTTAAATTCATGAAAAGAATTTGTCACCTTTGGTGAGTAAAAGGTAACCAATTCATTATCCTGAAAACTGGTAAATTAAAGGAAACAACACTTATCCTGCCTCTCCAACATGAACTGAAAACTAGGTAAATAAATAATAGATGAAGGGAAGTGTCTCTTTATGTAATTATTTGAACTAATCAGTGAAAAAAAAAGATACAATTAAAATATCAGTATTTTGCAACTGTCAGTGAATTCATAGATACAGACATCAAGCATCAGTGGAGTCTTATGTCTCACAAAAAAAGACAATCTGACCATATGTGCTTCCTATAGTCTTGAGAAAGAAATCAAAACTGAGTTTAATCAAATCTTTAGATCCCGCTGCCAATTTGCAGACAATTATACAGCAATATGCTGAAATGCACCATGAGAATGAAATCAGAAAAATCTAGATTGTTAAGACACTCTCTACACATCAAACAACGCAAGTTCTTTAAGAAATAAATTATGAGGAAAAGAAAGTGATGGAAGGGAACTTACTGATTAAAAGACACATCAACTAAAAGAACTAAAGTGTCGAAGGATGCATATTTGGACAATAAAATTATTTGAAAGACAGAAGGAAATAATTACTATAAAAATCGGGATAATGTTGCTAATAGCTGGGGGAGGAAGGCCTTGTGATTAGGATACATGGAAGGGGTTTCCAGGCTGGGTGGTTAAGTTCTATTCTTGACCTATGTAGTAGTTACAAAACGTGTCTTTTGGGCGGGGGGGGGGGGGGGGTT